TATTTCTGGGTAACCTCGGCTAAGCACGACTAAAAAATACGACTCATACTATAGTGTTAACAGTTGAGCTTCTCTCAAAATCGTTTTCTGATTGAAAAGATTTATCATTTTTTTTTTTCAGTATTTATAAAATTAATTGCCCTTTATTTATGTTATACCCTCCTTGCAAACTTTCTACCTCAGCCATGGGGCAAAGTTGGTTCGGCTTCACAAGTATGTTTTCAGTTATATATTGTCTATCGGAATTTTAGTCAGTGTCCAAGTTTCGACCACCGTCGTCGTTGTCGGTGTTTTGACCCGTCGATATTTTGATTATAGACCGTAATATCAAACCCGTTTCTATATAATAATATTTTCATTTCGGAAGCACAAAAGCAAACAATTCCGATCGTCGCCGATCGACTTATCGATGGTGAGACAATTTCGAAGTTTCGAACAATATGCACCGCCGGCTAACAAACCGTTCCATCTTCACTTTAAACTCCCTACTCTACAGCCAAAGTAAACCATAAAAAATAGGGCAAACTAAAATTATCACATAATAATATTACGTATTAATTCAAAAGATAACGAATTTACACGTGGAAAAATCATTGCTGGAGGTTTTCGATACTTATTATTTAGTCCATCCGTTATTTCATTTCTTTTATACTGATAATTTAATTTAATTTTAAAGTTGTTGTTAGAGACGGAAACGATACTTCAAATCGAGTATCTAGATATTCGATACTATAGATAGTAGATACACTATAAAATTAAAACATTACTTAAATTTTTCACGCGTGTAGTATGTTAAAAAATCGACGCGGTCGTAGTCATTTATTTTAAACATTTTTCTCAATAATTCCATCCCCTTGTTCAAAAAAAACCTGGAAAATCTAAGGGGAAAACGATCCGGATTGGCCCTTCTCCGGGCGCGTACGGGTGAGATACTTCAAATTGAGTATATATGTATGTGAACATATATATTCGATATCAGAAATAATGATTCAGTATCAAAACACGAGATATCGAGACATTAGATACAAGATAATAATACACAGTTTTATCGAAAATACTGTCCAACCTTGAGCGTAGAGATAATAAGTATGATTAAACTATTTTACTAGAATTTAGTCTTTTTTTTTGGGAAAATATATCTTTGGTTGTTACAAAAAACGTTATAGGTTAGAAACATTCACGTCTTACGACGTGATACAGATTTCCCGCCAGGCAGATACATTTTTCTAGATTCCTGACAGTTAAAAAATAAAACATACTAACAACAGTTTTGCAGAAAATCTATAGCCCTGGAATTTCAGTAAGTAATTAATTTAAAATTAAAAACAAATAATAAAAATACAAAATCATAGTTTTCCGTCTCGACGCTCGCGAAATGGCATTTTAAAGTGATAGGATGTCACGTAATTTTAATTTTTTTTTTCTCGCGTATTTATATATATTTATAATTAACATAACAAATCCCTGACCTCATACACAAAACAATATTCCTGTGACCTGCTTTTTTAAAAATTTTTTTTTTTAACTATTATCATTTTAACGATCTTCCATGATAACAGCTGTATACTCGTTAATACCGTAATTCGGGTCGCGATATCTGGCAGGGAAGAACCGAAAAATAATGTTACAGTATTGTATCCACAATTATTCGGTATAATTAAATATAATAAATATAACGATTCGGTATATTTATTAAGTGTACTAGAAGAAAACCATTTAAAAATAAATTTATCAGTGTCACGATGTTTAATTTGAAAAACAAAATTGGATGTGTAATTTTTTTTTTTTATCATAGAAGCTGTGTTATTTTAGTCGTATTGTGTGCATTTCATAAAATCATGTTTTTTGAATTAAGCAATAAAATATAATAAGATTTATTGTTATTCCACTATTCCATTTTTTATGGATAATGTTAAAAATAAACGCACAAAATCGAATTTTGTTTACAAAAAGTATAAATATATAACAACATTAACCGATTTTTCAACATTAACTGTAACCTTTTGAGTGAAGCGTAAGAATTAGTTATTAGTGTTACTAAGACGTGTTTTTTGTGTTTTCGGAAAACACTTTTTAGATAATAAAAATATTCCGATTTTTCCATGCCATACCAAGGAAAACACAGAGATTTTTATTTTATTTTGAAAAAAAATGTTTAAATTTCCAAGAGCTTCTGTCATCAAAAAAAAAAAAAACAAAAAACCAATAAATGCCGATACGTCGGTTTTATTTTGATGGAATGCTTAAGTTACCCTTAGGCTACAAGGAGAAATAAATAACGAGTAATACAACTGCGCTCAGAATCGGAATTTGATTGCGAGGACATATCGTTTTTTTGAGTACATAAATTAATTTATACTATATCTCGTACCTTTCAAACTTTTTTCATCACCTTCACGCAGTGGTCTACTACTGCATGGTGCGAAATACGTCAGGCATTCTCAAACGAATAAAATAACTGAAGTGATCTTTTTTTCAATACATATAAAAAATCAATTAATTTTTTTATACAAGCGTTAGTAAATAATATACATATATACCAGATACCTATCCAAGTTTCAAGGACCCAGTCACTAAAATGTCTTTATATAACAAAAAATGTATTCCGCATTTACACGATTGTGACTCTCTGGTTCTCTAACTCTCGGGTAAGAGACATATGATATATTTTATAAAGAAGCGTATATTTTATAACAGATCATAAAAATAATTGTTTTAAATATTTTAACGAATGTTCAAAATTAAAGAAAATATTTTTAAAAAAAGAAAGATTTGTAATAAAAATAACATTAAGTTCGATCGTATGGAGAAGCCAAATATTGTGCGCGATGCGTGTAAATTCGAAAGGAAGCCTTTATATTTTACAAGCCTCGCGGTTTTGCTGAAATCATTGTTTCTAACTATTATATAATTTAAAACCATATCACTGACCACTGTATATTATACATTTTGACCAAAATTAAAATTTTAATCTAGACCCCGTTTCCATAAAACCTATGCATTTATTATGTAAAAATATTATTAGGTCTGAGACCCTTCGCATGTCAATCGTCTGTGAGGCTTTCAGTAGTGGAGAACAAAAAAAAAAACATATTAATTTACTGTCATATCCCCTCGCGGTCTGCAGCACCGACCGGCGGCCATTCGTAATGCGGTATAAAGTTTTTCGAATATGAGGAAAATCGGGGAATAGGGGAAATATTATTATAAAATATACGTTCACCGGCGACGAAGTAAAATGCAATATTATCGTGAAAACTGCGGCAGTCCGTTATATTCGGAGGCCGTATAGACGAGACCGAGCGAACGCAATAATAACAATATTATTATAAACTTTACGAGTTGTCCTTGACTCGATTCGCGGGGATCGGTCGAGGTGGGAAGGACAAGGGAGTTTATAGGATATACAGCTGATAAGGCCTAAAATCACGACACCGGCGCAAGGTCGTAAACTATACATTTAATATTATTATGAAAACCGAAACGTAATAAACGATAAATCGTATTTTTTTTCGTTATTATCACATTGTGTTACGCCATAAAATATACCAAAAATGTGTGCGAGTCGTTTTATATTTATTATTTTTCTAACTTCAAAAAGACAGTAGAAAATGACTATACAAACAAATAAAATAGTTACAGTCGTAAGGTAATTTGATTCAATTTGACACTTTTGTTTTTTCCTTAAATTATAATGAATTCGTCTGTTTTTGTAGAATTTTTTCCGAAAATAGAGACTACATTGTATATTATTGTGTTTGTTACATAGTACTTACTAGCTGTATTACGCGATAGCGCGTACAAAGAATTCAATGAAAATAAAATTTAAAAATAAAAAATTATCTCGCCGTGAAAACAATTGATTATAATATAAACAAAAAAAAAGTGATACTATAGAGTCATTAGGGACGAGTGTGCCACTGTTAGAGGTGGGAAGTTGGAAGGTATAGGCTACATAAAGTTATTTAATTTATATCTGTAAGCAACGATAAACTATTGCTAACAAAAAACGATTTATATTAAGCGAAATTTGGTTATACATATTTTGAAGGGTCACGAAAATTGGAAAAAAAAAACACTACATTATATTTACTATTATTTTTTTTTACCACAAGTACAATTTGTAATAAAACCTCTGTTATGTCTCCAAGCATAAAAATATACAAATTTAGGTGTCTATAAAAAACTCAAAAATCACCAAAATATTTTGAAAATTTTAAAAAGGGAAGTAAAGGTTTTCTTTCAAAATGTCAAGTCTCTACGAACTAAATTACAATAAAAAGAACAAAATTTAAAATAATAATCTATTATTACTTTCTTACTAAAACTTTCTTTCTTACCAACTAGATTACAAAAGTAACAGAAAAAAATCTCTTGTCATTTTTTCATTGGAGCAATATTTCTAGAAGAAAAAATCGTGCACAAAACTTTAAAATAAGATAATCATTACGCTGTAAATTTATACATTTTTATTTTCCCAATTATTATTATTGAATACTGGGTATTCAAAAAAATTGTAAATTTTCTTACTTTGAGAACAACAATATCCAAAAGTCAACAAAAAAGATCTCTAGGCTGTGTTTAATTAATATATTATTTTTAGTAGAAAAACATAGTTCGCAAAAATTAAAAACAGTGAAGTCGATATAGCCGCGGTGCGCCGTAAATATTTTTAATTTTGATTCCTGGTTTTCTCAATTATTTTAAAAACTTCTTGGAAAATCAAAAAAAAAAAAAAAATATCCACATACACCAACTAAAATTACCATCAGAAAACGTGCTACAATTGATAAATCGGAATTTTGATTCCTGGTTTTCTCAATTATTTTAAAAACTTCTTGGAAAATCAAAAAAAAAAAAAAAAACACATAGTAAAATCAATAGTTCTTTCGCTTCGAATCTAATAGAAATAGTTTTTTTCGCGTGTAACTCATATAAATACCAGAAATAAACAAAACAAATATATAATTTTCATATTTTAAAGACATATTTCCTGCGTAAGCCCCACTTTAGAGGTTTAATTTCCCTTTTATAACTCTCTTTGAATAATTCTGGTAATTATAAGAACATACCGTGAAATTTTCAACGAAATCAGTCAGGTAGTTTTTGAATCATAAAACCATAAACCCACATGCATTACCTTTTATATTACATTAATGTATGTAGTGGATAGATATATTATATTTATACAATTATCTTTATTCTACTATATTTAAAAACTTTTATGGTTTTTCCCTCAAGACCAAATGAGCTCAAACTCTGGAAATACATTTGTCTAATAGTCGGACCAAATTGATAAAAGTCAAGTTGCAATTCGATACATGAATTTCATATCGTATTTTCCAGAAAAGATTTTCATTTGAAAGTTTGTCGTTTTAAATCTATTTCTAAAAACCATCATAATATAAAATCGGCGAATTGAAATTTCATGAAAGCGGTCGTGACAAAAGACATTTAGTAAAACGTTTTCAGTTTATCGATAGAAAGCTGCAGCAAATGCTGCAAGTTTAAAGTTCTCTTAATTGTATTGTCGAATAGTAATAAAATAAAAATTTAACCGTAGTTACTGGGGATAGGAGCGGTCACTGTTGTAAGTGAGAAGTAGGGAAGGTAGGACACATGAGGTTATTTCATTTATATATGTAAGCAACGATAAACCATTGCTTGACAAAAGACGATTCCGAGCGCAGTTCGATAATACATAATTTGAAGTGCGGTAATTTTTTTTACGATTTTCGTTTAAATTTGATTTCAAAACGCTTATTAAAAAAAAAAATAGTTGTCCGATTATTTTAAAAATGTTACCACGTCTAGGTTAGTTCAATATAAGTATTATTACAAAGTTTCAAGTATCTACGTGTATTTATAACCGAATTATAGTAAAACAACTCCCAAATATTAAAATTCCTTAAAAGCTCAAAAGCGCCTCAACAATTTTTGCGATATACCGTGAGCAAGCAAATTAGAAAGGCAACAAAAAATGTATCTTGTGATATCTCGATTAAATCATTTTTTGTTTTGGTAAAAAACGTCGTCCGTCTTATAAAATAATGAAATCGTGAAATCATACGTTTCCCTACGTATTTTCCCACTTAAGTGCTTTCATTTAAAAACGGCGTCGAAAATTAAAATAATGACACCATTTTAAAGTACAATATGGACCGCTTGAGCTTTCAGAAAAGTCGCTACAAGTAAAAATCGGAGCAAGTTTACTAGGAAAACACGAGGCCACAAACTAGGAGAAAAAAAAAATAAAGAAATAAACAGCAATGTAAAATCAATAGCTCCCCCGCAACGCTCGGAATCTAAAATTATTATGTTTATCAAACAATACTATATTTACTTAAATATATATGCATATTTAAATCTTTTCGTCCGATAAATAAAATTGAAATATTTTTGTTATTCAGCAGTTTCAAACATTTTATTTACCGGTGTGAAATATACCAATAGGTATACGACCTCTAAGTAAAGAATATAATGTGATGTAGTTGTTGGATATGGATCATTATGTCATAAATTGCTGCGTTCAAAAAATTTTTGAAATCCATACGATTTGTACTATGTTTAAAAGTTTTTTCGCCTTCAAGAGAAAAAAAATTTAGCGGCTCCGTGCTAAAAACGATTTTATTTTTTCTTTGTACGTTTTTTGTTGAACGGTATACGAAAGCATAAGCCGTGCGTTCTTTATTATTTTTCGAGGGATTTAGGGCGTTTAAATGTTTAACGCGTAAACATTAATACTGTATACTATTCGTGTTTAACCGTTAGTTTTCGTCCGAAAACACAAAACAAACCCCTTTAATTACACAAAATGACAACTACCTATTTATACGGGAAAAGAATTAGAAAAAAAATACGAATTACGTTTGTATACATAGGATTTTTTTCGTAGTCATATGTATACACCCACACAGTTTTTTGAATAATATAGTATTTACAGATTAAAACGACCGTACATAATACCTTTGATGTTTTTATTCGATTAAGATTTACAAAAAGAAAAAAAAATACTAAAAAATAAAACCCAATAAGAATATTTTATTATTGCATTATAGAAACTATTTTAGATTCTGAGTGGAGCGAAGAAGCTTGTGGTTTTACAAAGGTGTTCATTTATTTGTTTTTTTTTTTTTTATCTGTCAACAACTTTTTTACCAGAGACTTGCTCGGATTTCTAAGTGTAGCACTTTTTCTGAAAGAAAATCGGTGTGAGAAAGAACTCTAAAGAGGTTAGTTTTCAATTTTCTCCGGAGTTTTCACATCAAATTTGAAAAACCGGGAAAAAAATGGGAAGATTGGTACAACATTAAATAAATATTATTAAACAAAATATATAAAGCTTATTTAATTATTTAACTATAAAATGGTATACATATATATTGTTGACAAAGTATCACTATCAATTGAACTCCGCTCAGAATCGTTTTTTGATAAATAATAATTCATCGTTGACTACGAGTATACATTAAATTATCTATCATAATGGCTGCACTCGTCTCCATTATCTTAAGACGTCTTTTTATTTTTCAATATTAAAATATATTCATATCAGTGTTGAGATTATTGTATAAATCTAATTTGGATAACGGTACAGGTATATCTTTAATTTATTATTCTTATCTAGATAAAACAAAAAAACCTTATCTCTTTCATCATAATTGTTTTTAGTTGTAGAAAATAAAGAACTGATGCTACTGTTGATGAGTGTATAGTGACTTACACATCTAGACGGAACATTTAGTATGAAAACGGCGGGTAGAGTTTCATTTCAAAGACAAAAACACGTGAGATAATCAACGGAGTATTTTTATTGGCTATCCGAGAGAGTGAAAATTTGCTTTCTCACGCAATAGACTTTATTTCAGTCTATCTCTCTTGATCCATTCTGACCGACCACAGCTCTCAGTCTTCGAAGTGAATGTTCCATCTAGATGTATAAGTCTATGGGTATGTAACTGTTGTAGATGGATAGTCGTGAAGGTAGGACACACATAAAATTATTTAATTTATATCTATACGCAACGATAAACTATTGCAGACGAAATAGCGAAATTCTGAGCAAAATTCAGTTAACCGCATCTTTCAAAATATCGTAAGTTTAACGATTTTATAGAAATTTGAACATATACAATGTTTATAAAAAAAAATGTCTGTATTAAGTTCAATTAGTGATTTATTTTAATGCACTTTTTGAAAACTACCTTTTTCTCTGTTTTTTGAGGAATAGCTTTTTGTTTAAGTTTTTTATTGCATTAAGAGCACAGTCCTAACTAATTATTATAACTAATGTCTAATAAAATAAGTAATAACCGTATTAAAACTCGCCCTTGTTATAATGTAGTGCACGTTTATAGCGGAAAAGTCGTTTTTAACGCACTTATAAAAACTGCTGCTTTTATACCAACACAACTTTTACTTCGTTAGAATATAGAATTAAATAAAACTTTTTGACTATCTGGGAGACTATTCTAGAGAAATTCTCTTCAATGCACAAGTTCCCGTGAGATATCTGTGGTGACGTTTTAGTGCATTATTTTATATTAGTTAACTAGGGCGAATATTTTTCAACGTCAAGTTAAAATATACTCGTAAGTATTAGAATTCGAAGGTATTTAGGTTGTCAATATATCGACCCAGTGCTTCGGCACTCGTAAAATATCAGTTAGAAATATTAAAATTATATAACTCTTTAAGCCTGTACGTTTAATTTTGGTTCAAAAATTTGAACACTTATAAATTGTCGCTTCATTTGGATTGGAAAACAGAAACTAGGCATCATTGAGTCATATTTGTAAAGTAAAACTAAAAAACGAAAACGGACAACTTTACATGATAAGTAGGCCATTGTTATAGGTGAGAAGTCGGGAAGGTAGGATAATATCTAGAGGAATTTATCATATTTTTGTATGCAACGATTAATTATAGCTAACAAAAAACCATTCTGAATGGAGTTCGGTCATACATATTTAAAATGCCGTAGTATTTATAATTTTAATAAATAAATAAACATTTTATATTGAAATTCTAATAAAATAAATAAATACTAGATACATTAAACTCAAATTTTCTTGTTGGTCACTATGAATGAACATCCTCTTAAATATTCAAGCATTTTTATTTGGCCTGACAATTTTATCCACAGAGTACATACCGAATAAATATTAAGTACAAATTTCCAAAATTTAAATGTCTATAAATAGCCCAAAAATGCTTCAAATGCTCAAATTTTACCACATATTTAAAAGGCAAATATGAGGTCTTTGTTTAAAATTTTAAGCCTCTACACACATTTTTGATTAAATTACAAGAAAAAAACAAAATTTAATCTAATAAAAGCAATATTTTCGTAAATGTTCACATGTTTCCTACGTTTTTTTCTGGTTTTTCTATTTATAATGAAAATCCCTGGAAAAATCAATAAATGACCTTCTGAAAGTGCCATGCCAGAAATATTTTCTTTTGGAAAAATGTCATACTCGAAAATCGGAGCAAGATTTCTGGTAGAATTTTTGTACACAGTATGAAAAAAATAAAAATCAATGTGAATCTAAAATAGTGAGCAGGTATACCTGCACTTAGAAATGAGAAATCATTAGTTACTACAAATTTGGGGGTTTTTTTTGGTATATTATCATAAAACCTTACTGCTAAACTCCTTAATACTAACCTACCTTAAAATTTAACACATAACTATGTGTGTACGTATTGGTAACCATAAAAATAGTTTCCGGTCAGAAAAGGACAAAGGTAAATCATTTTTATCAAAAATAATGGATCACTTCTTTTTCTCTTTGAAAATTCATAAAGAAAATTGGGCTTTTTCGATTCTTGGTTTAACATCGACTGTACTTATTATTAATAATATATAAAGATAGTGAAGCAAAATTAAAAGGGGGTTTAGGGGGGACACTTAAACCTACCCGAATCCATTAAATTAGACATTTGAATAACGAGTAGAAAACGAATTAGCAGTTTGCCCCTCCCCCCTTAAAAATGTTAACTTCACCGCGTCCCCGAAAGACGGTTGGCGATTATTCCTAACTAAAAAAGGCCGAGTTTCACTTAAAATTCAATTCGTCGAATAGAAGGTCTTTTACAACCTATATCTATACAATATGTAAATGACGTGACTCCTTTATTTTTTTATTTTTTTTAACACGAACTGTAAACACACCGGTCATATCGATCCGTCCCGTACGCGTTTATATAATACGCGCAGTATATATGTTTATATATGTTGTTTGGATAGTATTATTTTTGAATGAGTATATACCAGTCGATATACGGCTAAAAAAAAAATATATACATATTACCATGACACAAACAGCGACGCTTCATATATAATATATAGGTACCCTCTTATGTTATTATTCGACTACTTGGAACAATAAAAATAAAGTAAATCGTATTTATATTCATAAAATATCACAAAACTCGCAAAACGAATAAACGCACCAGTGCTAAATAAAGAACAAATAACCGGTGATATTCGCGTCGCATCTTCAAAATTCAGTAGTATAACAGCACCCTATATACGTATCTATAAAATATAATAGCGTTAATATAATTTCATTTAATATTGAAATAACTATAGTTAACATATTGTTTTGTTCAATATAATTGTCGTCGGACATGTTAATACGAATTATTAGTTATTTGTTTTTAATTATTCAACATTTTTAATCGCGT